TACTCTTGAACAAGACCAGCTATAAACGCCACATTGGCTTCTCAATCCCTCCAACTGCAAGTTGTTCCCGCCACAGATGGCGCACAGCTTCGCATAACCTCCATCTCGGCTCTCTTACGACCGATATTTAAAGGCAACTACACACGTGTTAAGATAAACACAATAGCATTCCAGTGTTCGATCAGAGCACTACAATCACGATAACCTCTTAGTGATAATATTCAATAGATTATAACCTGCTTCATTCATAGTAAATATATTTCAACACCACAAGATTATCAAGAAATATAAAGTTCGTCTGTAATTCACCCTTTTGTAAATCAATTCAAATAAATACAAATAATAAAGACATGTGTTAATTATTAATCAGTGCATTCACCCTTTACTTGCCCGGCAACCCCACATAACATCTAGTGGGTTTTTTGTTCTAAGTTAATTATTACACGTTTGGCTGACGAGTTGAATTGTGGAATTATTTTCCGAACAATTTTTATTTTTTTATTTCACACTGTCTCTCTGGTGAGAACCTCTTCTTCTTGGTTGCTTGTCGATGACGTAAATTCTGAATCTTAAGTTTTAGTTGATTATTGTAGTGGTGATACTACTTACAAAGACTAATAGTAGACTTGTCTTCGGACTTCGGGAAGGGGATATGTCTTCTGTCCTATAGGACTTGTAACGATCATTTTCTTGAACTACGATAATCGACTTCCACTTCTTATTTAATAAGGATTTTATCGAGAGGTATTGGTCTCGTAGTTTTCTCTCTTAAATACATAACTGACAATGGGTTTCACTTGGGATCCATTCCTCGTCTTTGTGTTCAATTAGAGCGTAGGTTTAGGCTGCGTGAGTGTACATGCACGCCCTTTTTCCCCACTTCCAAAGAATTTAGGCTTTGGCGATCATAACACTGGAAAAGTATCTTCGGCAGCAGCGCTTACAATTGGTAGACTTGCACCTCTCTTGAACTTAGCAACGTTGAGGGTTCTTGGTCAAGTGTCGTTGCTTGGGTCGTGCGAGAGGTAATTTTCGACGTACTTGACAACAATGCATGCATTGTCTCTTGACCTCGATGTGGGCACGTGCCGATGATTGCCCGTTGTCGCACCTATAGGGTATTGGATTGCAATGAATATTTTGGAAATAATTTGTACTCGATAGTTTACGTACATCTTTCAGAATCACTCTTTCAGAATCGCCGCTTTCTTGGCAGTAAACAACAAGATCGTTTTAATCGCAGCGGAGAATAAGTAAAATAACTATTTCCGAGTGTTTTTCAGATGTACTGACCATCTCAAGTATCCAAGGACCGAGGGTATTTTGTGCCAAGAAAAATGTTCTCGCAATCTCGAATATAATGAAATCCAATTTCTTATTCCTGTATAAACATTAGATAACTGAATTATTCTATTAATATTTAAATAAACATCACTATTAATATTTTTATTATTATGTATAAAATACTATTCTATATTACATACATAGTAAAAAGAATAAAAGGTAACTATTAAAAAATAATTCATATATTCCATAAATTTTTAAGTTGAAATATTATTTTTTAAATTATTAGAATTAGGTATAATTTCCTAATATAATTTATATTATTAATTAATTTTTATAAGATCATCATATTTATTTTAAAGCAATTTCACTTCAAAATATGTTTTATATTAAATTATATTTTATTAAATTACTTCCACAAGTTAGATATTTACAATTTAAAATCTTACATAAAGTTTATGGTGTAAATTTATATATTCAAAATCTTTGTTATTTATAATTAAGAATTTAATTGGAATTCATTAGGGTTTTGTTTTAAGAAATATCATTAATAGAGTTTACATTTCAACACAAGAGAAGAATGTCAAGTAGAGGTTCTGTGAACGCATGCATATAGATGAAACGTATATAAACAAATTAGATTTTACGAAATTGGTGTGAATTTTCAAGTGTGTGAGAGTATATTTATTATTGAAATAGAAGGATTGTGGTAAAATCAATAGACTAATGTCACTGATACAGTAATATGATAAAAACATAATTATTGACTGTTACAATTATTTTCGAAGCAAGAAAACGTGCGTTAACGTGTAATGATCTTAAAAATTACATTACAAGAACTTTAATTAAAACGTTATCGAACTATAAAAAACAGTTGTAGTTATGAATATATAGTTTACTATACAAATATTATACTCAACATTAATTGATTTCAAAACAAGCATTAATAAAAAATGTCAGTATCTGTAAGAATAAAGATGAAACTTCATAAAAGGAGTTTAATATTTTTAATATCTAATAGTGAAGTATATTCATTGCAAGATACAATTAGAAGGATTTTATAAATAATTTAAAATAATAATCTTCTAGATAAATTTCTAAAGAGTTTTTTCAGATAGCTAAATATTATATTCATTTATGTCAAATCGATCAACGCCATCTTTTTCTGAACGCCTACTAGAACTAGAAAACTAGTTAAAAAGTATATGAAATAGCAGAAATTTATAAATTGGTACCACAAACTGTATGTGTTGTGTATAATAATAAGGTAATTTTTATTTTTCCAAAAAATGTTTTAATGCTCTTTAAATATTCATGTATATGAAATTTTATTCAATTGTATTTAATGCATTAATTTAGTTTTTGGTATGGAGAAAAAATTGGAAAAATTAAATGTAGTCTAGAGAATGCATATTGAAAGAATTCACAGAGCAAATTTTTTTTATATTCGAAGAATCGTACAACTGATATTGGTTATGATTAATGTAACTAATATCAATAGAGATAAAGTATCAATATTACATATCTCAAGTAAAAGATATCTATAATATGTTAAATTATATGTATGTATGTGTTTGAAATTGGAGCCTTCGGTTCTTGTAAGTGTTCTAAGCCTTCTAGTCCTCGAATGCTTGTAAACATTTGACAACCAGAATTATCGACTAGCTCAAAGCTTAGATTCTCGAACCTTCTACAAGCCGGCTAGTCTACGCATAGCAGCACCTAAGCATTGTTGCCAGCTAGTTTTAGCTCCCGCGCTGATATTTTAGGAGACACGCATTAAGATTCGTAGTCGTTATCACTCAGAAGTCACTCCGTACATAGTGCACTTATTCATCCGAGTCAGTTACTCGTCCTAGTCAGTCATCTACGCCCTAGCCATGCTATTAAGCTGCAGTCTAAAACCGAGAGAAAGTTACGCAATAGACGGTCTCTCAGTGCAGCTATTACAAGGAGCACACGTTCAGTTCTCCAGTGAGCAATGATTAACAACCAGTTAAGGGTGCTGACTGCAGTACAAGGAAATAATCGACCACAAAAACAATGGTATCAGACTCTCCTTCACATGAAGGTATATCAGTAGTCTCTATTGAGGATAACTACCACTCAATTAATCCCAATTAATCACCACTCAATACTCCCTTTGTGAGTATGGTCGCCTCTTCATGTTAGTCCTTACAACGTTAGAACAGACCACAATTCCCATACTCCACTTCATGAGTATGGTCGGCTCTTGCTAACCTTTTCAACGATAGCAGAGACCTTAAACCAAGCCACATTCCTCTTCAAGGAATATACAAAATCCATTGCTGATCTCCATAACGATCTACTATGAGAAGTGAATACAGAACAACAATAGTGTAATTGTCAATAAAATCAAAGAAACAATGTTCTAACGAAGTTTACACTCACTGTACATATTTACAGTTCTTCCAGCTATGTCGTTTCCTAAGCATCGCTAAGGCGGGCGATAAAAAAATTGAACTATCGAACCTGGCATTTCGAGCCAAAAATTTAAATACATTTGATCCTTCGAACCGAATCAAATAAACAAACTTTCGAACAGCATGTATATATATATATTTTTTATTTATATATATGTATATATTAATTTCCCTTAATGATAAAATTAATATAGACATCAAATATTGCACCCTCATATTATTGCTTAAAAGGCATTATATTTTATAATTTGCATATATTTTGCACAAAAAAGACTAGATATTCTGTATTATTTTATACTGCTTTGCAGAATAAAAATGAAGTTATATCGTTGCAAATAAATTAGAATTTTTTTTTAATAATAAAATAAAATACATTCATAAAGAATTATGTATTTATATATTCTTTAAGTTATACAAAAATTATAACGTTATAGACTTTATCTTTACTAACATATTTAATTTTTCAGTAATCGGCAATTCCGCAGTTCGGATAATTTCTCACATAATTACATTGAAGTTAATTGGTGTCTGCAGATTTTTCATACTGTAGTATACATATTGAAAACATTTGTTTGTTTTATTTTACAAATAAAAACGTTATAATGCCTATGTACATTTCAATTAGAAATAAAAATATATATAAACAAGAAAATTTATGTGTTTTAATCTTTAGTTTTCTATTAATACTTATACACTTACAGTATTATCGATAATGTTGAATTGAATATATATAACGTATTCCAATTCAAAGTATACATTATAAAAGCAGGTGTAATTTAATTTACTCTCCAGTTATTAATTTCTTTATATCTATTATTATTTACTTAAGTATTTTTTAACTTTTAAAATGTATCTACAGTTATCTAAATAAACAAATTATAAATACTTAAACAGATGAACAACGTAATTTTAACTATTACAGGAATTAGTTGGTGATCGACAAATTTAAATGTACAGTTGTAGACTTAAGGATATCATTTATATTTAAATATAAAACGACATAAACATTTTACTTATTTAAATTAAATTATAACAAAAATTAAAGTGTTTTTAATATAACGGATATTCTATATTTTTCTGGATACTATATATATTTATATTTTTCTTAGAATCGAATTTAAACAGGCATATGAAAAACAATACTGAAAGCATTTTTAGAGTTGTTTTTATATTTGAGAGCATTTTATATTAAATAATTGTACTCATTAAAGATTTGCAAGTTGTGTTAAAAGTATAGAATTACATTTTTTAATGGCTTAGAATATTATTAAAAAAATAAAATAAAATTTATATTGATTATTTAATAAAGATAAATTTACATTAAAAATTTTTAATTTAATTTTTAAATAGTTACATACTATAAATGCAATATAATTAATTTTATAAGTCAATAAAAAAAGGTGGATACATTTATCTAATTGCACAAAATACTTAATATACAAATACACAATGCATTATTTACACAATTAAAATAATAAATGAAAAAAGATTGTTCGAGAATGCGAGGACGTTTTCTTGCCACGACTTCCCACGGTCGCTGGATATTCGAGAAGGTCAAAACATCTGGAAAACTCCAGTGAATATTTAGCTTATTAATTCTTGCTTATCTAAAAACGTGCTCATGCTGTTCCTGTGCAGTAAAAACTAATATGTTGTTTTCTGTTAAGAAGACTTAGATTCTGATAGTATTAGATATACGTAAAAATACCGAGTACTTACATTTCCTAAAATTCACTGCAACCCAAAACCCCGCACCTGCGACAACAAGCAATAGGCGTACGTGCGCACACGGCTTTTTAAGACAATGCTTGCTTTGTTCTTAATTACGCCGCATCTAGTCGAACGCATTGGAAGATCGACCACGCCTAAGAGGACCCTTCGTATAGCCAAGTCCCAGAGAAGGAGAGGTGACCAATAGTAAAACCTCCCCACTTTCCGACACTTTCCCGATTAGCATATTCGGGACTGAGCCCGGAAGGAGGTGGAAATGAAGGCGTGCATAATCAATTATGCTGCTCAAGGTCAACTTCTGATTGTATAATTAAAAGAAGAAGGGATCCCAAGTGGAACTGGGTCAGTGAACTATTTAAGACGGGCAATGTAATGTATCACCACTTATTCTTATTCTTAATCTTATTCTTTTATGCTTCTCATGATTGAATGGATAAGTCACGACTTACTCTCACGAAGGAGGACCAGAGACAAAGTCGTTCAGCTGAGTCTAGTAAAAGTTCTTTCTACGATTGTGAATCAATATATAGTTAAAATTGATCTCATCAAGCTTTAGATAGCATAGGTTCTGAGATTCTTGTAATCTCAGCTGGAGAAAAGAAAGAAGTTACGAACTGTAACTGCCTTTCTATTACTGGGATTCAATATACAGTCAACATTGATCTCATCAAGATTAGATTGCATAGGGCAGGCCTTTGTAATCTCAATTGGAAACAAGGAAAGAACTTAAGAGCTACATTTATTGAAAGGGAACTTTATATCAAGCCAGCGAAGAGAGACTGGAAAATTCACGATACACTGCAAGTAAGTCCTTACCGCTAGTATTGTGGAAGAATCACGTTACACTGCGAGTAAGTCCTTACTGCTAGTACTGATTCTTGATCTCTTGGCTTTATTCTGAAAAACGGACGGCTGAAGTCCGATTAGTGAAGCTTCCCAAACATACTCTAAAAAACAAGACCAGCAATAGAGCCACACAGTGGCTTTTCATTTCCTCCAACAAACAGCTATTCGCGCCATACTGTAAGAGCACATCGGAACAATGATCAGTTGTTGACGCCACAGGTGGCGCACAGCTCCGCATAACCTCTAATTTTAGGTTCTTACACAACCTATTATTTAGAGGCAACTGCACATGTGTTAAGTTAAAACACAATAAGATTGTAGTGTTCGATCAAGGCACTATAACGATCATAACCTAAAAAGTGGTAATATTCAATAGATTATAACCTATTTATTTTTACAGTAAATCATAATCTCACCGGTATATGCAGAGAATAAGAAATTGATTATCTCCTAGTTCTCCAATAAAGGGATATATCTGAAGCCACAGGAGTATTAAGCAATATAAGGGTCATTTATAATTTCACCATGGTTAATGATTCCAACTTGGAAATAAAGTAAAATAAATGGAATAAACAGCAATAATACAGATATGTGTTAATTATTGAATCGGTGCATTAACCCTTTATTTGCCCAGCAATCCCACACAACATCAAGTGGTTTTTTTGTTCTAAGTTGATTTTGCACGTTTGGCTGATGAGTCAGATTTGTGGAATTATTTTTTGAACAAAGATTTTTATATTATTTGTATGTCAACAGCATTTTTGCAAAAAGAATCTTAACTACGAAATTTTAGTTAATTTATAGTCGTGTATAAATAACGATTCTTTTTAATTTCAAAAAAATGGAGAAATAATTTTAATAAACTTACATTCAATACTTATTATTTTTTACACTTCCGATGACATTACAAAAGCCAATTTTATGAAACTATTAATTTACTTTCTTTGCATTTTCAAAGTAATAAATGTAATATATACATTTTTCTAAATATATAAATTTTCTTAAAATTATTACAATTATAAATTATAAATAAGAGTATTATATGTATCAGATAAAAACAAACAATTTTTTGCAAAAAGAAAAATGGCAAAAATATTTTACATTTTGGAATAAATTTTCTGTTGAAAAAGTGTATCATGAAGTCATTATGTTTAATTGTAAAGAAAGTTTGTGATTAAGTTATTCTTATTTATGCTTTGAATTAATTTTTGATTATTTATGCTATATTACGTCAATAATTTTTATAGATATCTAATTTACGTAGAAACATTTATAGTCAATTTTCCTCCAGACAATTCTATATCATCGAACTTATTAGGTATTAAATATTACTATTTTCGATTCTTATTTTTTATGTTAAATACTTATACTTAATAGATCTTTTAGTTTTCTGCATTAGATAAATATAATTTTCTATTTCTTTCGTTCTCTTATTTACGTTAATTGTATCCTATTTTCAGATATTTTTCCCTCAAACATTTCTGATTACGTATTGTTATTATTATGTGCTTAGTAAAATAATTGTTTTGAATAATAAGTATGCGTTATAATTTAAAATATTCAACATTGATAAAATGAAGTAAAAATGTGCATCATTAATTTAATTGAAAATTAAATAAATAAAACTATTGTATATTAATCATGCATTAGTTTTTTTATTTAATATTGTTTTTCAAATATGCGCATATGGTGCACGCGCATTTTAGTATATATATGAGCTGCAGTGTACGAGCTCATATTTAGTCAATATTTAACGAATTTAGAACATTTAAATTAGTTTTAAAATAAAAAATATGTTCAATTCTTTTCTATATTGTGAATGTGATATCAAATTTTATTTTAGATTTTATTATTAATATTATTATATCCAAACCTACATTGTTATATATTTAATATTCTTAGTATCATAATTTATAAACTATATTTCATCATGCAAATTAATGATTTTTATCAGTTAAATGTGAATGATAAAAAATAAGTCTTTTCAATAACGAAAAATTAAATGAATGAATAAAACGTATTTATTCTTATTAATGCTATGGAATTACATACAAGTACAGAGATATTTGCCAGACAAATTTTAATTAAATTGTGCATATTAGTTCAAATAATATACAATTTCAAATTTCTATCTATTTTTCTTGTTAGTATATTGCCTAGTTTTGTTTATAGCTCCATGAAAAGTAAGTAAATAATTTTTACCTAATTCCAATCAATATATTTTCTTTATATTAAACAGTAAATTATTTTCAAAATAATTTACTTTTTTTTGGATAAAATATATAAAATTTGAAAAAGTACAGAAATGTTTAAAAAATGTATAAATATTATTTTGTAACTTTATTTATATATATATTTTTTATATATATATTTGTATATTTTTATATTTTAAACACACATTACTTTCAAGTATCTTTTAGTATAAAAAAAAATTATAAATAAATGAAGAATTTTCTAATTTGTTGTTGAATATTATATATAGTATCTAATTTAATTTAAATGTTTTAAAAAATATTGTAAAGCTAATGTGTTAAAGGAAAATATTCAATTAAATCTTTACAAATCATTGTTTAGATCTTGTTATGTATAAGAAAATTTAAACATCTACAAATATGTATTTAATTTTTATTTTTATAATATAGAATCAAATATTTCAATTAAAATAGGAAAACTTTTTTCTTATAAATGTTAATATAACATATAATGAACAAATATTTAAAAGTCACTTCTAGGAATTTTTTTAAAAATAAACTATTGTATAAAAATTATAAAAATTTTTTTTTAATTTATGTTAACATTAATTTAAAAAATGTTATTAGCATTTTTATTTATTATATTATTTATTTATACATAATATTAACATATTAACAGAAAGTAAAATTTTATAATATTTCATTGCAATTATAGAAGACAAATAATGATATTTTTTCTAAAAAAGAAATTTTGACGAACATAAGTGTTATTATTAATACTTAATAATAACAATATTAATGTATAATATTTTTATAACATAATTTTTAAATGTCTGAATTATATAATTTTTTTTGTTTTT